ACAGAAGCTGCTGCTGCTGCTGCTGCTGCTGCTGCTGTTTGCACCAACGATTATCTTTATATCATCGTAGAGGAGCAGCAGCAGCAGCAGCACGAGCAGCAGCAACATTCAGCAGCAGCAGCAGCAGCAGGTGCTGCTGAGGTAGCACAGACTGACACGCAGAACAGCAGCGCGGAAACAGAGGCCGAGGGATCAGCAGCAGCAGCAGCAACAGCTGCAACAACAACAGCAGCAGCAACAGCAGCAGCAGCAGCAGCAGCAGGCCGGGTACTGCGGCTATCTCTCGCTTCTTTAGCAGAGTCTGTTGCTCTTTGCTGCGCCCGCTCTGCTGCAGCTTTCCCAGGTGCAGCAGCAGCTGGTCCTGCTGCAGCAGCAGCTGGTACGGCTGCAGCAGCAGCAGCAGCCGTTGCTGCTGCTGCTGCTGCTGTTGCGCTTGAAGAGGACGTCGACGACCCAACGGCGGAAACAGCGCAGGNGTTGCTGCTGCTGCTGCTGCTGTTGCGCTTGAAGAGGACGTCGACGACCCAACGGCGGAAACAGCGCAGGAGCAGCAGCAGCAGCAGCAGCTGCAACTCCAGAAGCAGCAGCAGCAGCAGCAGCAGATCCTGCTGCAGATGCTGCAGCAGCAAACACGGCAGCTCGGGCTGCAGCAGATATGTGCGAATGTTGCTGCTGCCGATGTATCGTATACTGGGGAGCTGCAGCAGGTGCAGCTGCAGCAGCAAGTGCAGCAGCTGCAGCAGCAAGTGCAGCAGCTGCAGCGGGAATTAGAAGAGTTAAGGAATGAAAGAACTTTGCTGCGGCAGCAGCTGCAGCAGCGTGAAGGTATTCTCTCCGCCTTATCTATAAAGGTAAGTTTTTTTGTTTTTTTTTTTGTTTTTTTTTTGTTTTTTTTGTTTGTTTTGTTTGTTTGTTTTGTTTGTGTATGCCTCTGTCTGCTTGCTTTTTGTCTCTTCTTTCTTCTTTTTTTTTTTTTTCTCTGTGCTTCTGTCTATCCCGGCGTCACAGGCAGTTGAGTCTTTGTGCTGCATTTGCTGCTGCTGCTTCTGCTGTTGCTGCTGCTGCTGCTGCTGCTGTTGCTGTTGCTGCTACTTGGCGTAGCAAGGTTCCGGGGTCTGCGGCGGTGTATCCGATTGCCTTTCGGCATCCGTTGCTCTGCTGCAGCTGCAGCTGCTGCTGCTGTTGCTGCTGCTGCTGTTGCTGCTGCTGCTTCACGTGGCAGCTGTCTTTGTTCTTTATTGAATACCTTATTATGGAGTTTTGCTGCTGCTGCTGCACTGCAGGCCACTGCTGTGCTGCAGCAGCTACGAGAGGAGCGCAGCGCGAGGGAGCTGCAGCAGCAGCAACACGAGCAGCAGCAACAGCTGCTGCTGCAGCAACTCCGGGCCAGAGACGCAATGGTGCAGCAGCAGAAAGAGAAAGTGGAGACATTTGCTGCAACAGTAAGGGCTGCATGCGTTTATGCCTGCTTGCTGCTGCTGCTGCTGCTGCTGCTGCTGCTGCTGCTTGCAACTGTTGCTGCTGCTGCTGCTGCTGCTGCTGCTGTCGTGTTGTTACTGTTGTCTGGTGCTGCTGCTGCTGTCTTGCTGCTGCAGGCGCAGCAAGTGCGGCAGTGTTTGCTGCTGCTGCTGCGGCAGAAAGAAGCACACAGCGCCCACGCAGGCAGCAACGAAGTGGATGGGAGAGGCAGAGGCTGCAGCGAGGAGCAGCAGCAGCAGCAGCTGCAGCAGCAGCTGCAGCAACATTTGCAGCTGCAGCAGCAGCAGCGCCAGCAGCAACCGCAGCCTATAGACCTTCTGCATCAGCACACGACGGACCTTCACCAGCAGCAGCAGCAGCAGCAGCACCAACCACAACAGAAGCTGCAGCAGCAGCAGTTGAAACAGCAGCATCATCTGCTGCAGCAACAGCAACTGCAGCAACAGCAGCTGCAGCAACAGCAACTGCAGCAGCAACAGCTACAGCAACAGCAGCTGCAGCCGCAGCAGCAGCAAGCAGAGCATGCATCTCAGCAGCAGGCGCGCTCAAGTGTATGGGCAGCTTTCCCCCCAGCAGCAGCAGCAGCAACAGCAGCAACAACAGCAGCAGCTGCAGCAGCACCGACGGCATCGCAACCCGCTGGCA